GGGAATGACGTGCAAACCACACCAGTGGCTTTCTTGTGTTATGTCTTCACCACCGTGTTATCTGTGTGCTTTCGAGTCTACTTTGTCTTTGGGCTGAAAAGCTCCATGAAGCTGTCTTCCACATGCATAAATCTCGGCATATAGCGCTATGTGGACAGTGCGTAGGCCTCAGGATCCTGAAACTTTGTTTGCTTCCGCACCAAGACCTTCCTTACTTTTCGTTTTACTCCCTACTGGTAACCACCGTCCCTGGTGGTGATATAGCAGCGCAAAAACAGTTAAACCAGCTGCTGGTTATGTAAAAAAGCATCAGCAGTACGCAGTACAGACGCTTCGCTGCGCGCAACCACCACCGGCCGCACGTCCGCTAAGGATATTCTGCGGGAATCTCCCTGCCCCTGCACAAGCTCGAACACGCGCAGTCAGATTACAACACAAGCTTGTTATCTTGAGGCTACTGGCCGGCTGTTTAGTATGTAGTCGATGACCATAACGATGTGAGCTAGGCGACATTTATTTCGACTTTTCAACTTCCATATCACCTGTGTGTACATAAATTCGTCTCATACTATCCGAGATCAGTCAAACTGCAGAAATTGTTTGCTCCACTTTGACTATGGGAATGCACGCACTTTTGCGAGAATTTCATTTCTTACGGAGGAGTAGGATGAGGAATTGAATGGCATAGGTAGAAATTCGTCCCATCTAGACTCACTCAGACAGCCATCAGACGTCCGGGATAAGCACTGTACGCGCGTTTCGTCCTTTCGGGAATCGTCAGCAGTGCGTATTCCATCGTACCCTGATAGGGCTCGAATCCGCAACTCGACTGGTGCCAGTCCGTGGTTGAGACCACTGTGCTGCGGGGGACGGCAACGACCATAGTGAATAAGTTGCTAGATGTGATATAGTGCCGCTCACCATCCGCTGACTTACACGTTACTACCGTGCAGAGGACAGGGTAGCCCCCTCAACAATTTCATTTCTGCCGGTTCGATGCTTGCTAATCACTTACTGAAATATAAGTTCAAGAATCGCACTCATCAAGCGAACACAAAACAGTAGTTGCAACCGTTACACTTTCCGTATGCCGTTATACCGGTACTTCATCCAACCACATTTCCACTTCGCAACTACTCCAGGTTGCACGCTGGCTTGAATACTGGGAGGTCGCCCACACCTGCATATACTCTAACCGGTGGCTCGTGGATTACAAGCTAGACATTTGATACACTCCACCATCTATCATCACTTTCCACCATGGAACTGCACTCACTTGACACATAATGAAGATTGCAGAAACTATCTACCCTAGCAGCGATGTACAGTTTCCTTACCCGGTTGTCTAGGCAGCGAAGGTTAGGTTCCTACTTTTGTTTCTACCCACCCTTACAGCCTGAAGGCTGTCAACTACAAATTATTCTCATCATCATCATTACACGTTAGCTGAAGCTGAGAAACATACTTGGGCTGTTGTGCCGCAGTAGCATATATTTGAAAAACTCGAAATTGTGGAGTACAGAAAGCCAAAAGGTAATATAACGCTTAGTATGATGTTTCAAACATGAAATCATGGTTGCTTAGGCAAGAAGGGATGGACAAAGAAACTTACGACACGCCATTAAAGTCAGCTTTTCCTCATGTTAACTAGTGTACCCAACCAAACGTGTCCATAGTCCTTCGGACCCCAGCCCGGCTATCGGGAAACACTAACCGACGCCAAGCTCGAAATGAAGGTATCCTTTCCTTTTGACCAAGTCATCGGCTGGTCTCCCATCTTCTTCCAGCCAGAACTCGGGCGGGCAAACAACGCACGTCATGGGAGTCGTCGGTATGTTGGCATACAAATCATACGAGTAGTCGCCTTCCCATTGTGATTACTTCATGCAAGACCAATACTCAGGTCGAGATCGGCTCGTTGCGCCAAAGGTTTTTTCTCGGTCCATGCTTTCGTGATTATATTGATTATTATGTAAGCGCTACTGATAGGCTAACGTGCAGTACCACGCGCTTCGTACTTAAATCAAGGTAAAAGTGTGCTGTAACGTCATTACTTATGCGAGAAAAGGATTTATACTATTAATATTGTTTCAAAACTTCAGAAAATTCGAACGCATTGCGTAGCTCATTTTCACACTTGCAGATCGGCTGAGCCCGCTACCACTACTACTACTTTCTCAACATTTGTGCATTCCGTTTTGATAGCTACTCCGTTTAATATTTCCTCAATGTTTTGGACTTCCGTTTACCTGTGATTGCACGTGAACGAGATTTGCTTTTGCTAAGAGTCATACGTGTTTCGCACCTTCACAGTGTGAAATTCCACTACAGAGCTGACCCAACACACCATTAGTTATGGGAAGCAACAGGACAACCTCTCAATGCGAATAGCTTTAATGCTCGCATCACCGATTTGATTAGCACTCACATTGCTAAACTTCGTATGTCTTCTATTTTTCGTTGATTCGCGGAAGGAGCAGCTTGGCGTAGGCCTTTTGGCCAGGAGAGTATGATGTACAAACTTTTGTGTGGTCACTGATACTGTCGATCAAAGAAGCAACGCCTGCACGGTGAAGATATTAGAAGGTGGGTCTCCTTCGATGTATAAGTGGTGGACGCATTATGCTGGAATTCTTCATTTGATGTTTGGCAACAGACCATCTGATATCTCACTGTGATTTTGGCGAATATCCGAACATGTACGCTTGCATACCACCTAAATCACTGTCTCTAGGTCTTACCTTCGCTATAACCTCCAGGTTAGTCAAAACTTTGTCACTGACCGCACAAATCAAAGTTTGAGGAAAGCAAGCAAATGGATTGGTTCTTTCCGTCTCCCTCCAGCACAGAGTTCTCATGATCTGCCGCCTCAATTGTTGAACACGGTCAGCTATGATGCGATCTTGGGATGAATAGCACTGTTGCGTTCCTTCTCTTTTCTTGCTGTCTCTTTACCACCGCATCTGGTATTTATTTTTCAGTCCGTCTCTCTTGAGTCATTATGTTTATGATGATGCCTTTGTATAGAATATCCCAAGCGTAGATATCAGAAACAAACCTTATCGAACAAGCTCGTTTGCAGTGTTTCAAAGACCAAGATCGTCTATTTGACCAAGCTAGGTGACTGGTCCCCCAGCGAACAGGTGTGTGTGTGTCTGCATGTTCGAAAGAGCCCGGGAGCATTGCCCAGCCTGGCTGTATAGCGAAGTGACTAGAGCAGTAGACAAACGCACTGTCTGCGCATGTGGTTAATTGGAACTACCAAGTCAAAGCTTACGATTCATTCCATCCAATCTACTATGTACACGAATGTCACACACGAGCGGTTAGATGTCGCCTGTCGACAGCAGTCAAAGCGATCCCCATTCGGCTTCATAACCTTAACCTATTTACGCATAAGCACTTTGTCCGGGCACTTACTCTACCGTGGCCCTCTGTAACGCTGACACATGATGTGCGTAACACCACATACCCATTCTTGATCGCTCTTGGACCAATAATCTAGCCTGTTAACTCAGACTATGTTAACCTTTGAATTTTTACCCTTATCGGTAGTTTACGTTTATGTCATTCATTCATGGTGCATTCGCGTGATGAGTAACCACTGAAACCGAGCTTGTTCGCTAACATTTGTTTCTGATTATTAATAATATTGTTGATAATTCTAGTCATAAAAATAATACGTATATTTATCTTGATGAGAGAAACTGTGTTTATAGCGGCACAGATCAATTTGTACAGTAGGTAGAGTATTGGAATATGCGTTTCATGTATTAACATTCTGGCGGATGGTTGAGGCCAAAACCTAGTTATGAGAACATTGGTGTATATGTTTTTGGGCCCCTCTTGGAATAGCTCATCAAGAGATTTTTCCCATGTGAATATAGAGCTTAGGGTAGTTTGATCAAGGTAATTGGCGAGTCTGCTTCTAACTATTGCCACATTGTCACATGGCCTGAGTGTTATTGGTAGTTTAACCCACAAATAGCTATATCTGATCAGGAAAAAATTAGGGCGTATGTTCGTTCTAGCCTTCGATATATTCAATGTAAAATCTTTGTTGCGAAGCGTTCGAGTTGAGGAATGTTGTAAATTGCGTGTAGGCAGGTTGGAATAGGCCTTTTTGTGTAGCACGTTGAATAGCAGCAACAAGTTGTGCTTCATTCGCCGAATCCAAAGTGGTTCGGGATGAAGTTCATTGCAGCGTTCTCGATAACTCATAGCAGAGTGTTTACCAATCATATGTTTAATAAATGATCTCTGCAGGTGCTCCACAGCAATTCTGTCACTCTTTCTCATATTTCCGTATTTTATGCTGTAGTATTGAGGATGGGACAATATGTCCCACCGAACTGCCATGCGCATGGTTGCATCTCCGAAATGAATTGAGACGTCATGTCAGCAATTGCAACCGGCTTAGATAAACGTGATACGTGGTGCTGCATTTAACTCCGGTGCGCGATCGCACGTGTCTGACATTCAGTTTTGGCCCGTTTGGAATAATGACACACTATGAGATGACACTATGAGATATGCACCGGATAGCACGTCATTTTGTTTTTACTTATTCATTTTTAAGCTCACGACCACCCTGCATGTGCCCCATACTCCGTCACATTGATGTAGTCTCTCTCGTTGGCTGCGACCACAGCTTAACCAATGTTTTGTGATCCAATTTGACAATCACATGCGCAGCGCTACCTCCTTATTTTGTAATTTATATTTTACTCTTTGGACTTTTTCCTGCACTGAAATTCAAATGCATCTCACAGTTCTCAGACGCCTCCCTATACTCTGGTTGTTCCATCCAAATTGAACGATCTGCGTGAGATCGCATATGCTACCGCGCCATCATCCTTGATTTCAGCTTTTTCCATTGCATAGGTGCATCTCAGTTATCCGTGTTTTTTAACTGTTTACCCTGGTTGATTTTCATCTACTGTCATATTTATTGACTTGATATCGCTTTTAATGTGTGTATCCTATTTTTCAATTTTTAGTGATTTGACAATGAGTGAATTGGATCAATTCAGGCAAGAAAGCGAACAGCTGAAAAACATGATAAGGGTGAGTAGCTTTTCACTTATACATGGGATTGTTGCTTTATATGTCTACCCGTTTTACTCGGTCTTATGAATTTCCCTTTTATCAGATAATAAATCCTTTGTTCATTTACCTCTGAGTGTATCAGACTCGTTTTGTCTTGTTGATCGCTTTTTTGGCCATACAAGCTTGTTTCCTCCTGTGCGTCAACTGCCTTCACAAATTCCAACAATGGAGTATCAGGGAGGTTTGAATAAGTTGACATAATCACAATGGGGTAAACCATGGACTTGTGCAAGTATGGTCGCGGGTTTTAGCCCCACAGGGAACATATGAAACCCGCATTGCATACGATTCTCGAGAGGATGAAGCGGCCGACTTGCGATTTTCCGATCGCATAGCTTTTTTTACTCCTTAGTTCTGCCTTTCATATTTGCTGTCAATATTCTTTGTGGCATCTTCATTTTTACCCAGATTTGTACATGCAGCACAGCATTCGTTTGATCCTTTTATTGTCGTTCATGATTCGAGCCAGATGCACATCATAAGCTTTTCTAGGAACTCTACATACGCCTCCTAACGACATCTTTTTCGCCGTGATGGTTGGGGTTGCTTGCATTCACTTCGGGCCGGTCAAACTGCGGTTGAAACGTAAATTATTTTACAGCATGTTCTTATCCTACTACTTTTAGAAGCTAGGTTGTAACGGACCTCCTCTGAATTGCTTACAAAATAAGGATTTCGGTACGGATTCCGAAACACGCGAAAGATTTGCCACCGACGGTGTGCACCAGGTGCCTTCTCTCTTCGTTTGTAATATTACCCGCAACATTTTGGTTGCTTCGGAACGAAAGCAAGTCTACCCTATGTCAACGGAATCTCTGAAATGGCAGTGAGGCTTTTCTTGCCTTTTGGAGTCAAAGTTGCACACTATCCAACGGAAACAATTCGTAGTAAACTCTTCAAAGTGAAAGATGAACTTAGCAGAGCCGTAGAAGCTGGTGTGATTTATAAGATTTACTGTCCGAACTGTGACAAATACTGGGTGGGACAGACTGGAAGAAAGCTTGGCACAGGGCTACACGAACACAGTCTAGCCATTCATCTTCACGATCAGAACTCCCTGATGTCAGTGCATATGGATACCGAGAACCATCAACCCGACCTAGAGGACACCAGCATCCTCGGAAGGGCTAAAAGCCGGCAAGCATGTGAGTTCATTGAAGCCTGGCATTCAGAGCAGAACTCGATCAATAAGCACTTAGATGTTGAAGTTACTTACAAGGCATTGCGAACCAGGCCCCTGAAGCCGCACTAATGATGTTACTTTGTCAGACAACAAAACGTCTGCACAGTAATCACTCAGCTCGGAGAACAGCTCAAAATCCGCATCCTCACCCCGAGCTACGGATATTCTCACTTATTTCCAACCGAACCAGGACCACGACGCATATATCACCTGGCGCGTCCAAATTGTGTTTTAAGTCCGCCAAATTAAACTTCCTGTATCTTCAAGATGTCAATTCATAGCGTTTTGATGCATATAAGAACGCCTCATCGTGTACTTTATTGATATCAACTGGATTAAAAATCTGAACCGCACTGTCCTCTTGAACTATTTTGTGTACTCATACATGCTGTGCCGTCACCAACTCGTCAACTGGAGCACAGAGACTGCACAGGCATTATAGTGTGGACTCTAGTTGTCCACGAGACAAAAGCCAGTTATTCATTTTGGCATAGGGCAAAAATCTTTGCTTGACGATACTATGAGGTTCTGTATGCGCTGTCTCCTATCATTGACCATGAATTTTTGACTTCAGGCTGTCAGTTATCAAACCGGCTAGATGCTGTTCATCGGTAGCCTCACTTGTCGTTGTTAGTAAACCCAATGGTAACTATGGTGGATTATTTCCCTACCAGAGGTCTACCAATACTCTCTTCTACTTAAAGTTTACGTGACCACCTAGTCAAGCTGTGTATTTCCGACTAATGCTTCCAAATTAAAGTGTCCTAAAGGGTTGTACAATCTGTGGATAGTAAACTCCTATGTACGTCTTTTTTGTGCACGTTTCATTTGGCTCTCCATGCGTTCCGAATGTGTGTCCCGATAGATCATGCCTACAATATCGTAAGGCTTACCAAGAGCTGAACACTTCTGGGTTGCTGTCTTTTTCTTGGAGGATTTAGCCACCGAACAGAAAATCTTCGATAGGCTACTCCGTTGGGGATTTCGTTCAATTATCTAACCTAATATTCATGTGAACCCGGTTTCTTATCGATAGCAACCAGACTCATCTAATATTTAGCCAATTAAATGTATACCACGCACTTATATCATTCATTGGACCGGAAATTTGTGTTCCGGCAGTTACTTGCTGCCTATACATATACTGTGTAGGCTATTCAATTGGTTAACAAAGAAAGCTGCTTCGTTGGCACTAACATTTCGGCTGCCAGACAAGTTCGGTGCTTATGTATTATGAAAACCCGTGCTTTAATGTCGTCGAGGCACCGGATTTTTCCAGCCATATAACCGAATCGACCTTGTTTCAAATCTTTCCAGACTGTTGTAAAAATCCCGTCACTTGCACTACTTGTCCACTGATGTGTGCGGCCACCACGTCACCCTGCTAATAAACCACGCGTCCAGTCTTGTTGTATTGAAGCCAAAAAGCGTTCAGTTAGACGGATGGCAGCACTTCTCAAGCGTGTTTTCAACATCGGATATCGATCGGAAAATAATTTCTCGGTTCAGTGCACTTTCCCCATTGATTAACGGTCACCGTCGATTATATTGCACTACTGCTGGGGTTAGAAGCTCAATCGGAAGCCACCACGGTCTCAGCCTTCAGCTGTCTTCCGACCCGATTCTAAATGCCTCTTTACGCAACTTGTTGCTGGCGCAGGGGAGCAATTGTTATTGATCACACTGGCCGCAAAATCTCCAAATTACGTGTACGTCTTGTTCTCTTAAGAATTTGGTCACACTGCTGATAATCGAAGAGGAGTCCTTTTTGTTCTACACTGAACTCCCACCTCAACTTCTATGGGGGTTTCTTACAGTGCTCTCTAGATCTAACAAGATAACTGCCCTAAGGAAAAGTTGAATTATCCGACTTCTTATGGACTCTCAACTTGAGCATCAGATGCGCCTGTGTTCAACCTATTCTCTGCATGTGTTAACTACTCTCGGAGGTATTGACCATTTTACCTGCCGGTTACCATGAAACCATGACCATGAAACTATCCCTATTTCAATGAACCACTTGATGAGCGTTGCCGGGTTTCACTGAAGTAGCGGTTTCATCGACCGCACCAACATTTTTTGTCGGTTGTTGAGACCTATCACACATCTACAACGCCAATGATGCTTTCATTTCGGTATAACGCTTTACTCTTTCACTGGTTAAAATAAATGTCCGCGAAGTAGGTAGATATTATATGAGCGCTTAGTTCAAATAAACTATCGCTGTCTTTTCGTATTTTTACCGGCAAAGATTCTTGTCATCGCCTTTCCTTTCTAACTTCGTCATTGACGAAGTTATGGAAACCATTCAACAGACGAGGTGTAATATTGCTCCCAAATGATCGATTAGTCTACTGATATCGCCCTAATCTTTGACACCTTGTGAGCATGTCACACTAGCTGTCTACCGTTTCGGGTTGTGCTTTTCGCCCTCAAATTGTGGACCTTTGCTTATGGATTGGCAAGTACCACCTTGTGTGCTGACCTATGGTGATGATCAACTGGTATAAGTCGTTCAGAAACTCCACTACTTAAGCAGCTTTATTAGCACCTGGGGAATAGATTAGGCCAGACACCGCGTGGCACAAGTTCGAGTCGCTTTTGTTTACCTTTGTCACTTATGGAAACAAAACGTCCCGAAGAGGAGAATCTGCCAACTCTGCCGTGTGTTTGTAAGCCTCTGGGGCATTAGCTTGGTAGACGTTAAGAGCTTAATTGCGCCCGAACAGTGCTGCTTTCGCAATTCAGTTCATATCTGATGGGAATAAAATACTATTGTGTCAGCTGTACGCCGTATTCGAGCTTCGCTGCCGTGCACTCACCACCAATCGCACGCGGGCTGAGTGTACCGCAAGGACGCCCACCCCTACGCGAATTTGAACCCACGCCGCAAGATGACGAGACAAGTTCGTTACCTCTAGGCTACGGGCCAACATCTGGTGGGAATATCGCGAGCACAGTAACTATGCCTGTCATCTTGTTTTTTGCGCTGGACTAGCAGGTGATTTGTTCACCTAGTAGTTCACGCACCAGGTTCCGATCACTGGGCCATGGGTTACTTCTACCAGTGTACCAACAACTGGTAAAAAGGTACGCAGTACCGACGCTTTGCTGCCGCGTATTCACCAACATTCATTCGTGGGATACGGATACTGCGAGGGTCCCCCTGTCAGCTACGCAAGCTCGAAGTCGCGCCCTCGGGCTACAAGGCAAGCTGTTGCTTTCTTAAGCTGCGGGCCGACACCTGCGAGGGGCGTTGTTTGCGCGACCATAAAATGCATGGTAGTAGTGGAGAGGTGACCAACGGATGACCTGGGTCAAAAGCAGTGTAGCTTCTCATTTCGAACTTTTCTCGGTGCATGCTTCTTAAGCTGGAGTCCGAAAAACGATAAACATATTTGACAGGAGACAGGTGTAGATATAGCAATGAGCGAACCTTGAATCACGATTTTACTGCTGACGTATAATAATAAGCGGCGCATAATATCACCTGCCTCGTTAATTGTTCCCTTTCCTCTGTGTCAACTACCTATCTTTTTCGTATTACGACCGATATCTGTGTTTACTATGCGATTTCCCATATGCGACACTAGCGGCACCTTTTTACTGCGCCTGATGCAATTTCAAATGCCGATGTGGTCATCGTTTTTGCCTTCTCGGACTAAAGCTGCTCCGATCCATTGGATCCCAGTCAATAGCCACATGTGTGCTGTCGGATTGGCCAGCTCATTCAAAGCTCTGAGGTCGCGCTGGAACAAACCATACTTGTTTGTCA